TGGTGATAAGGCATGCTTCAAAGTCATATCAGGATTTCATGACAAGGGGTTCCTAAGGGAAGGATTATTTGGCTACGTACTTGTGATGTGTGTGAGAGTGACACTATGGTTAAGCTGTAAAGGCTAAGGATATAGAAAAATATTTTGAGAAGAGTTAAATGATGGTGACTCTTAGGATGGGTAGGCTAATGATGTAGGGATCAAGCCCCCAAGTCTAGCTCTATGGATAGGTATGAGCATCGGAGATCCCATGATATGATCATGATGTGAATATGAATGAGTGCATTTTATTACGGCCGCACCCCAATGTGAGGTTGCCTACATATCCGTTAAGAATCAAGCCGAACGTAGCTCTAACCAAACCTCGCACAAGTGTGTGTATACCTCAAGGAGGTCTTTCAAGGGTTGTAACGGGGTTAGGCTAAGGGTTGTAACGGGGTTAGGCTAAAGGTTAAAGAAGAAGGGATAAAGGCTCAAGACCCAAAATAAGCCCCCAAGGTGTGTAACCTTGCATTTAAATCTTAGTATTTGTAAGCTTGGTGTTTCTCACTTTTGAACTTGTTTTTATTTTTGCATTTGAGATTTGTTTTTTAATCTTCTTTGGATAAGTGTGGGCAATCCCGATCATGTGGTCTATCACTCACTTGGCATTCATGTTTCTCAAGCACGGTGCTGAGCACTCGATAAGAGACGCAATCTGAGACGTGTTCATATCAAAGACATTGGAACACTTTCCCTTTTGCATACTTTTATTGCTTTTGAACTTTTGAAACTTTGGTAACAATCACTCAAGCTTTCGTACTTAGCTTTGAAAATGATAAGTTGCACACCATCCCATCCTAAGCTTAGGTAGATGTGGGTTGGAAAAAGGAAATTTTAAGACATTACCGCCACCATGATAACAGCTAAGGCAATTATCAAAGACACACAGCGGGAGACTCACTTTAAAACCATTCAAAACAAGTCAACTTTTAAAGTCAAATCAAATGAAAGTAAAGTCAAACCAAAGTCAAACAAAGTCAACCTACAACTTGGAACCATTGTAGGCCCTTTTCAAAACCCAAAACAAATATTTAAAATCATTGCGTTAGTCTCACAAGAAAATATATAATAATCAAAGAAAATAAAACACATCATATTCTTATGGAACCTAAATAAGATTCGCTCTTTACTCATGTCCATCATGAATATGCTTCATCACCTGAAAAGCTCCTCTTTACTTTGTCCCCACTACTCGCTATTAGAAATGGGTCGTCGTAGGGCCAATATAAAGACAAGGCCAAACAAACATACAATACACACAATCAGCAATGCTGAGTACATAAGTGTAACCGATTCACACTAACATGCATATATCCTAGCATATCACAACTTACCTTGTTGCACCTGTTTACAAGCATACAACACACAGTCCATTCAATAGACATTTCCGTTGCTTATTTAATTTGATTACGTATCGAACGAGTTTCCCCCCTAACTTGCCCCAATAAAAAGGGTACTAACACAGGAGCTAACCGTGCCAGTATATAAAAGAACCACTCGTAAGTGGCAGAATTCCTGCGCATAATAACAAAAAGGAAAATACTGCGTCCTGTACTCCCAGTAGAAGCTATGGTTAAATATGAAACCCCATAACTTTCCCCATATGTTCATACTCGAGGTATATACATTCCAAGAGTTTTGGTGCGTAATCTCTTTCACTTTACGTTATTTACATATTTTAGACTTGGTGATGACTCTCAATCCACAACACAATCAATCATCATAAATCATCCAAGCAATCAAACATACCAATTTAATTCTTGAATAATTAGTGACCACGGTTAATTTATTGTTGAACCCTTATTAAACTATGTCGGCGTTAAATAACACCTTAAGCGCATAATGCACCACAAATCCTATCCCTCGATATTTAGAACACCTTAAGTGCACTTAGGCACCAAAATATAAATTAATCCTTGTGTACATAGACACTTAAATAGCTCATTTCCCATGCTTATATCATCAATAAAAATTATATTTAGCATAATAAAATTCCTTTTTCATAATCCAAACCAAATTAAACATTTAGTTTAATCAAACGTGCTCTTGATCATGCCAATAATAAAAGTGTGGTCCATATCCAACATGCCATCATAATTAATTTCAATCAATAATTCACCTCAAATAATTCATGCTTCACAAATTAATCACCAAAACCAATCCAACGAACAATTCCAATCAATACCTGTCACGATACTAACTTGGAATTAATTAAACAAGTCCGAGCATGCTTCTACACACTTAAATAATTACCGAGTACACGAACGTACCTTGAATATGATCTGAAAATCGCCACGACTACACGAAATCACTCACTTGGAAGTCTCCTACAACCCAAAATTACAAAGAGACCTTAATACCCATTCATAATAAATTTCCAGCAATATATACACTCTTTAAAACACTTTTAAACCTTCTAAAACATGCTAAAAATTAATTAAAACCATCAACTTTTATTCCCAATTAATGGGTAATTAAAATCCTTTCAAGAAATTTAATTCTAGCCTCTACATAAAAATTCTAGCATTATAAAAACTCTTAAACATGCTGTATTTAGTTTAAAAACACTAATTTCAATAGTATTAATCAACCACAATTAAACTCCACCAATAAACATCAATTCACAAACCTAGGGTTTATCAATTTGGGGCTTTTTTATTCTAAAACCAAATCTGAAAATTATATACACATTAATCATCATGAACACATCATAAAATCATCACACACACCCAATTTTAATAATTAATCAAAGCTAGATTAATTTTAAAACAAAGAGAAGAGTTTCTTTTTATTTACACAACCGCACGCACGGGGGAGGGGGTTGCTGCCGCCCTCCACGCCGACAGCAGGCGGTTCATACTGGTGGTCAGCCGGTGGGAAGTGGTGGTGGTGGTGGCCGACCACTGATAACTTGCTATTTGATATGATTTTAGGGTGTTTTGAACCTAGTTTGCTTGATAAAAATTTCGTTTTGGTTCATTTTTACTCTATTATTATGCAATTTTTGTGTATCCTATGCTTCCCGGGTTGTTGGTGTTTTTGTTGAGATTCTAGGTTCAAAAGAACGACCAAATGGAGCCCATGGATACAAAGCCGAGGTTAGAAGCAAGAAGATGGTTGAAAGAAGCCAAGGAAAGGAGCAATATAGAAGAAAAGATGAAGGGCTTAGAAGACCCTGCACGTCCGTGCAGGAGGTTCCAGAAAGTTTCAGCAAGCTGCCAAGGCCTGCACGGCCGTGCTTAATCTGGCACGTCCGTGCAGAAGAGGCTGCACGGCCGTGCCAGACCTTGCACGTCCGTGCAGGAGTGCTCCAGAAACTTAGAACATTCTTCCAAGGCCTGCACGGACGTGCCAAATTAAGCACGTCCGTGCAGATGTAGCTGCACGTCCGTGCCAATATCTGCACGTCCGTGCGGAGCTGCTCGATTCTTAGCAGTACGTTCTGCCTCAATTCTGCCCCCTCTGCACGTCCGTGCCGAATCTGGCACGACCGTGCTTATGCTTGCACGTCCGTGCCGAATCTGGCACGTCCGTGCAGACCTGCAGTCGAACTCCTTCCTTGTTTTCTCCGTCCTTTTTATTTGGGGGTCATATAAATACCCCTTTAGAGCTCATTTGATAGGATGCAGTTTTTTAGAGCTTTCCTCTTAGTTTGTAGTCTTAGAACATTAAATTCTCAAATCATTAGTTAGTTCTCAATTATTAGCTTGGAAACATTCAAATTCAATCATTGTGGAAGACAAAATCCACCATTGTTGCTCACTTTGAAGCTTCAAAGTAACCATTTCTTACTCATCTTTTCTACTTCTCTTTACTTTGTTGTTGATTACTTGCTTAATTCTTGCATGCTTAGATTGTTAATTAGCTTAATCCTTAGTTTGAACTTGTTCATGAATTGCTTGAAACCTCTAATTGCTTTAACCTCCATGGATTGTGAGTAGTCTAAATTCTAGGGTTTGGGTAAAACCCTCAATGTAGTCACTAATTACTTGTTGCATGTGCTAATTTGGTTGTTGTGGGATGATGATTAGTTGAGCTTAAGTGGTTTAATTGCTTAGTTCTTGTATATGGCCATTGCTAGAACTATTTATCCAAGCTTTCTCAACGAAGGATCGAGAGATGAACTTGAGTTAGCTCCCTTATGCTTAATTGACTCGAAATGCGATGAGAATAGGGATTACCGGTCAAGGGAATGTTTATGTCATCGTGATTATGCTTTAACACTTGTTTTATGCTATGTAACCACGAGAGTAGGTTGTATTCACGATTCAAGTAATCCCTCTAGCTTGAGAGAGTAGTTGGGTGCTTTAGATGACTTCCCCTAATTTGTCCCATTAATTTACCTTGATTGTAGCATGTTAATTGTGATTTGTGATGAAGTTGAGTGGTATTACCCGAGCCCTAGATTCCTCTTAATATTGTTAATCTCCTCTTAGCTTTAGTTGAGTTGAATTAGAAGAAGTTACTCAAAACCAACCCAATTTAGAATTCATTTAGCTTATTTAAACGGTAGTACTCGGTGGTTGATTCAACGCCTCTCTTGGGTTCGACCCTTTCTTACCCTTACTATTGTTAGTGAGACCAAGATAGGAATCATTATCTTTGGTAGGCTCGACGACGACCTATCAAATTTTGGCGCCGTTGCCGGGGAGGCAAAGTCACATTGAATGTATTATTGTTGAATGAGACTAGATGTGTGTATATGTATAGTAGTTTTCTTACCTTAATTTTTGTTAATGTGTGTTTAACTTGCGATAGTCATTGCTAACGTTTTTCTTAGCTTTGTTTGACTTTGCATGACACAAAAGAGTAAGCAATCACCGCTTATTCCCGTTGATCCGGAGCTAAATAGGACTTTGAGAAACGTGAGGAGACTCTTGCAAGGCACACCCGAGTTTTCCATTGTATATTCGAATTCCGATCCGGAAGAGGTTTTTGGAGCTAACGAAGAAGATAACATGGGAGAGAATCCTCCTCAACCATTGTTAAGAGACTGTGACCACCCCAACGCATTCCAACTTCGGAGTGGCATACGTCTTCCCACCACAAATGCAAACAACTTTGAAATTTCACCTCAACTCATCCGTATGATTCAAAGCGATCAATTCGGAGGTAGTCCTCATGAGTGTCCTTTTGCTCATTTGGACAACTTTCTTGAGTTGTGTACAACCATCAAGCAAAACAACATTTCGGAAGAGTTCATCCGTATGCACATGTTTCAATTCTCCCTCCGTGATAAAGCAAAACATTGGTTGAGAACGGTCGAAGAGGGATCATTGAGTACATGGGACGAAGTCACTAGAGCCTTTCTTGGAAAGTATTGTCCTCCGGAAAAGACCGCCGAATTAAGAAGAAAGATCACCAATTTCAATCAAGACATTGATGAAACATTGAGTGAAGCTTGGGAGCGTTTCAAAGATTACACAAGGAAATGCCCCCACCATGGTTTTACATCATGGATCATTGTACAAAGCTTCTATGACAGTCTTACTCCTATTTCAAGGGCCAACCTTGATTCCGGGGCCGGTGGTAGCCTCAAAAAGCTATCAGTGGACGATGCATACAAGATGATTGAAGAAGTGGCCAAGAATTATGCATATGGAGGTGATAGAAGGCAACCTCAAACAAAGAAGGGCGGAATTCATGATCTTAGTTCAATAGATCTTATTGCATCAAAGTTTGATATGCTAGCTCACAAGCTAGATCAAGCCACCCTCACACCCTCAAGCTCTTCCTCGCAAGTCATGTCTTGTGAGACTTGTGGAGGAAATGATCACTTGTCCTCTTATTGCAACTCAACGAATCAAGAGAAAGCGGCGGCAATTGGGCAAAGGAATGAACAATACTCCCAATCCCACAATCAAAGTTGGAAGCCCCAACAAAACACGGGATGGAAGCAATACAACCAAGGCCCCCCACAAAATAACTACAACCAAAATCAAACCCAACCTCAAAACCACTACAACCAACCTCAATCTCAAAACCAACAAGCTCCATACCGCCATCCCAACCAAAGGGATCAAAACCACCAAAGATCACAATATAACCAACCCGCTCCTCCTCCTCCACCTCCTCAAAAGACTAGCCTTGAGTCCGTTCTTGAAACTTTCATGACTCAACAAATAAGGAACAATGCGGAGATGAATGCAAACATCCAACAACTCCAAGCACATAATAAGATAATGGAGGGCCAATTAGCTCAAATTGCACAACAAGTTGGAAGTTCATCCTCCAATCCTAGTGGTCACTTTCCAAGCTCAACGGTAGTGAACCCAAAGGAGCAAGCTAAGGCTATCACTTTGAGATCGGGAAGGGGTTATGAGGGCCCGGTTATGAGTGAAGAGGAGCCACAAAAGAGAGATGAGGGAGTTTTGGTGAGAAGTGAGGATGATTTTGAAAATGAAGTAGTTGAAGTTGAGAGAAAAGAGCAAAAGAGTGATGAGGGAGCCACAAAGAAAGACGAGGGAGATGAAGAAAGAATAGAAAAGCCCCCTATGAGAGTATATAAGCCCCCCATTCCGTTTCCTCATAGAATTGTAGAGAAGAAGTTGAATGAGAAGTTTTCAAAATTTCTTGAAGTCATGAGAGGACTTCAAGGGAACATCCCCTTTCTTCATGCTATGTCACAAATGCCTACCAATGCAAAAATTTTGAAGGATCTTCTATCCAACAAGAGTAGGTTTGAAGAGAGTGCAACCATCTCTCTTCCTAGGAGGTGAGTGCAATCATCCAAAACAAGCTTCCCCAAAAGCTTGGTGACCCCGGTAGCTATGCAATACCGGTGAAGATTGGAGATTTGGAAGCTATGGATGCTTTATGTGATCTTGGGGCAAGTGTGAGCTTGATTCCCTATTCTATTGCAAAGACCTTGAAAGTTGGAGACTTGAAACCAACAAGAATGTCCTTACAACTAGCCGACCGCACGGTTAGGCTACCTTTGGGGATTCTTGAAGATGTGCCGGTTCAAGTTGGAAGAGTATTTGTGCCATGTGATTTTGTAGTAATGGAGATGGAAGAAGATTCAAGAGTACCCCTCATTTTGGGGAGATCATTTTTGAACACCGCGGGAGTGGTGATTGATATGAAGGAAGGAAGATTGACTTTGAATGTGGGAGATGAGAAAATTTCATTTTCATTATCACAAACTTTAAGAAAGCCATTTATTGATGAAGTTCATAGAATTGACACATTGGAGAGGGACTTAGAAGAGTTCCGAGAAAGATTGTATGAAAGAGATCCTTTACAAGCTACCTTAACGGGAAGCTTAGTTGAGGAGGGTGAAGAAGCAAAGGGGTATGATCTCTTGCTCAACCAACCTTTGGCCCACGAGGTGATAAAATTTGAAGTGCTTAACGTGGTAGCAAAAGAGGAGAGGACTACGCCTCCTCCTAAGTTTGAACTTAAACCCCTTCCCCCTCTACTTAAATATGCTTTTCTTGATGATAGTGAGAATTATCCCGTTATTGTCAATGCTAAGCTCGATGACACCTCTCTTGAGAAACTCCTAGTTGTTTTAAGGAAGTATAGAGATGTCATTGGGTACAAAATTGATGACATTAAGGGGATAAGTCCCACCATATGCATGCATAAAATTCTACTTGATGATGATCATGCTTCCTCGATTGAGCACCAAAGAAGGCTCAATCCCAATATGAAGGAAGTGGTAAAAAAGGAAGTTTTAAAACTTCTTGAGGCGGGCATAATCTACCCTATCTCCGATAGTAAGTGGGTTAGCCCGGTTCAAGTTGTGCCTAAAAAGGGAGGCATGACCATCATAAAAAATGATAAGGGTGAGACCATTTCTACGAGGTCGGTCACCGGGTGGAGGATGTGCATTGATTATCGAAAATTGAATAAATCCACCCGGAAAGACCACTTCCCACTCCCCTTCATTGATCAAATATTGGAAAGACTAGCATCACATAGTCATTATTGCTTCTTGGATGGATACTCGGGATTCTTTCAAATTCCAATCCACCCCGAGGACCAAGAAAAGACTACATTCACATGTCCTTTTAGCACCTTCGCATATCGAAGAATGTCATTTGGGCTTTGTAATGCACCTTCCACATTTCAAAGGTGTATGATGTCTATTTTTTCCGACATGGTTGAATCATCAATTGAGGTATTCATGGATGACTTTTCTGTTTTTGGTTCATCTTTTGACACTTGTCTTTCAAACTTGATTAAAGTGTTAAAAAGATGTCAAGAGGTGAACTTAGTTTTGAATTGGGAGAAATGTCATTTCATGGTAGAGGAGGGAATTGTTCTTGGTCATGTGATTTCTAGTAGGGGCATTGAGGTAGATCGTGCCAAGATTGAAGTAATTGAGCGCCTCCCACCCCCTACAAATGTGAAGGGGATAAGGAGCTTTCTTGGACATGCGGGATTTTACCGCCGGTTCATAAAGGATTTTTCAAAAATCGCAAAGCCGCTCACTCAATTGTTGGTAAAAGATGCCCCTTTTGTGTTTACTAATGATTGTTTGCTAGCATTTGATAGGTTGAAGGAGGCCTTGATTTCGGCTCCTATAATTCAACCCCCTAATTGGGAACTTCCATTCGAGCTTATGTGTGATGCTTCGAATTTCGCCGTTGGGTCTGTTCTTGGACAAAGGAAGGACAAGAAGCTCCATGCTATCTATTATACTAGCAAAACATTGGATGAGGCACAAAGGAATTACACAACCACGGAAAAGGAGTTTCTAGCCATTGTTCATGCAATTGAGAAGTTTAGGTCCTACTTGTTGGGCTCTAAGGTCATAGTCTTCACCGACCATGCGGCCTTGAAGTACCTCTTGTCTAAGAAGGAACCTAAGCCAAGATTGATACGGTGGGTCTTGCTCTTGCAAGATTATGATATTAAGATTAGAGACAAGAAGGGTGCCGAAAATGTTGTGGCCGATCATCTTTCACGGTTGCCTATCTTTGTAGGTGATCTTGATAACTTGCCAATTGATGATTCATTTCCGGATGATTGACTATTTGCTATCCTTCAAGTACCGGCACCATGGTTTGCGGACATTGCAAACTACTTGTCTTGCTCTATTCTTCCTCCCGACCTCACCTATCAACAAAAAAGGAAGTTTCTTCATGATATTCGCCAATACTTTTGGGACGACCCCTTGCTCTTTAAACAAGGTGTTGATGGCCTTTTTAGAAGGTGTGTCCCGGATGATGAAATTGAAAGTGTTATCACAATGTGTCACTCATCACCTTGTGGAGGACATATGAGTGCTAACAAAACTTTGGCAAAGATCTTACAATGTGGTTTCTATTGGCCTTCCATGTTCAAAGATGTGTGGGGTGTAGTGAAAGCTTGTGACCGGTGTCAAAGAACCGGCAATATTTCAAGAAGAAGTGAAATGCCATTGAACAACATTCTTGATTTGGAGATTTTTGATGTATGGGGCATAGATTTTATGGGGCCTTTCCCAACCTCTTTTGGGAATAAATTCATTCTTGTGGTCGTCGATTACGTGTCAAAGTGGGTAGAACGGTTGCATCTCCTACTAATGATGCTAAGGTGGTGGTCAAACTCTTCAAGAAGGTCATTTTTCCGAGGTTTGGGGTGCCACGTGTCGTCATTAGTGATGGAGGTTCGCATTTTGCAAAGCGGTCCTTCCAAGCTCTTCTTCAGAAGTACGGTGTGAGGCACAAGGTGTCGTTGGCTTACCACCCTCAAACAAGTGGTCAAGCCGAAATTTCAAACCGGGAGATAAAGGTGATCTTAGAGAAGACAGTGGATAGGTCTAGAAAGGATTGGTCTACGAAGCTAGATGATGCTCTATGGGCCTACCGCACCGCATTCAAGACTCCCATTGGCACCACCCCTTACAAGCTAGTATATGGGAAATCATGCCATTTACCGGTAGAACTTGAGCATCGTGCTCATTGGGCTATTAAAACGTTGAACTTTGACCTTCAAAGTGCCGGTGGAAAGAGGTTACTTGACCTCCATGCCTTGGAAGAGCTAAGATTGGATGCATATGAGAATGCACGGATCTACAAGGAAAAGACCAAGGCTTGGCATGACAAGCATATCAACAAAAGAGAGTTCAAGGAAGGTGACAAGGTCCTACTATTCAATTCCCGGTTGAAGTTGTTTCCGGGTAAGCTAAAATCAAGATGGAGTGGACCTTTTACCGTCAAGAAGGTGTTCCCATATGGTGCAATCGAAATTGCCAAAGAGAATGGTGAATCGTTCAAAGTAAATGGCCAAAGGCTAAAAGCGTACTTTGACGGTTTTGTGAATGAAGAGGCAAAAGTTGTTCACCTTGATGAGTTCGATATTCCTCACTAACATTTGATCCCGCAATGTCGTCAAGCTAGTGACGTTAAAGAAGCGCTTCCGGGAGGCAACCCGAGTTCCTCACTCCCCCTCAATTATTATTATTTCATTTGTTTTATTTTTATTATTATTACCCCTTTTTCTTTTATTTATATATATTTCTTTTTGTAGGTATCTATTAAAAAAAATAAAAAAAAACAAGGGGAAAGAAGAAGAAATCGTGCACCATCAGGTATGCACGGACGTGAAGAACATCGCACGTCCGTGCAGACGAAGGCAGAACCTGACTGGTGAAATCTGAAGCTTTGCACGTCCGTGCCAAAAATAAGCACGTCCGTGCCAACTACTGCACGTCCGTGCACTCGAGGACAGAACAGATTGCCATTCTGCCAGGAATCTGCACGTCCGTGCCAAAATCTGCACGTCCGTGCAGATTCAACCTGCACAGCAATATGACGATTTCTATTAAAAAAAATAAAAAAAAATTAATTATAATAGCAAAGACCCCCCCCCCATACTCAAAATTCTCACTCCTCTTTCACACTCAAACACTCCTTCCTCCTCCATACTCCATACTTCATACTACTCCTATTTCTCACCCTTCAAACTCCATTTTTCACTTAAATCCCAACTCTAAACTACAAATTTCACTCCTCTTTCAACATTCTTCACAAATTACTACCCCTTTTCACCATCAAAACCCCAAAGTACCAAAATTTTCTCAAACCCTAACTTTCAAAATTGATTTGGGGGTTTCTTGAATTTTGATTCTTTAAGCAAATTGGGTGAACAAGGACCATCAATCAACAACAAGGAGTACTAGAAAGGTTCATTTGCGGGTTCTACACCCACGACATTCTTGGTATAATCCTTCCAATCTCAAGCTCTTCCTTTATAGTTTAAATACTTGTTGGTTGATTTTATGAGTAGTAATAGTTGAAATTGTTGACATTTTGTTAAGTAATTGTGATTGTTGTTAGTTTAGTAGTATAAAAGAAAAAAATTTTGCGTGAATTGTGAGCATTGAAATTTTGGTTGGTGATAGGTTTGTGTGAGTATGGATGCTTTTGGTGTTGGATTGTTGAATTGTTGTTGGTAAATTGTGCACGTTGACAATTTTGGTGTTTGATTGTTTGAATTGATAAGATCATTGTTGGTAATTTTCAATTTTCGGGCTTGTTCTTGTTGTGTGTTAGTTAGGTGGAAGACTTAGAGCCTTGTGTGTTCAAATACTTGTTCATTAGGTGTTGTTCTTGCTTGAAGTGTTCTAAAAAAAAATTTTGATCATGTCAAGAAGAAACCAACCAAGAAACACCTCATCCGCTAGGCTTAGAAACCCTCCACCTCCATCAACCGTCGAACCACCACAAGTGGACACCTTAGGTATTGTCTTTAATAATTCGGATTTCATGGACAATTACCTAAGAAT